GCTCAGGGCATGATGGGGAAGTGTCCATTAATGAGGCTAGAGTGTGGGTGGAGCCAGACCATAAGGAGCCATATGTGTATATTAAAGAGATGGGCTTTCAAGGGCAAAATGGGGGGTTTTAAAACTGAGTTTAAGAAGAGTCCTGTCCTATCATGATAGGATAGTAAGGACGCTATGACATGAGTGGAGAGGAAGGGATGGGATGGAGAGCTCTTGGGAGATAGAATGGATTGGCTTCAGTGAAGCATCTGCAGGTAGGTGGTACCTGCCTTCCAACTATTCACAGTTGCATGTTTCCCTGTGTGTGCTGATTCACCCCTGCTGACAGCAGTGTGCCCTGGTGATTGACAGTGTCCTCAGTGTGCATTTTAACCAGTTTCACCTCATTAACTGATGCAGGTGGGAAGAGAATGGACCTTCCCATTCATTTATTGAGCAAAAGAAGAAACCGAAGCACAGAGAAGGAAGAAATGATTCATAAATGAAATGGCATTTGAGATACTCATCATTTTTATTATTATCCAAATCTATTCCCACTCCTGTGAGAGACTGTTAAAGACCCCAGATTCCTTCTTTCCTTGGATCCATGCCCCTCTGTGATGTAGCTTCACTCTTCTTCCCAGTCAGAGGTGGAGTATATTTCTCTACTCTGTTCAATCTGAGCGGGACATAGAACTTGATTTGGCCAATAGACTAAAGTATGTGTGACGTCATGCAATTTCTGAGGCTAGGCCAAAAGAGATGGTATCTTCTGCATTCACCCTCTTGGAACACTGCCCCAGGACCACCATGTAAGCTCATCCAGCCTATTGGTGGGTTAGAAAATGGAGAAGAGCCATGGCATCCAGCTCTCAACCAGCACCAACTGCCAGACCTATGAGTGAGGCCATCTGAGACCTCCCAGTCCAGTTGACCTTTCAGCTGAATGCTGCTTGTGAGTGATTCCAAATAAAATCGGCAGGTGGACCTATTCAGCTACCACCAAAACTGTAAGGAGTAAGAAATTATTGTAGTTTTAAGCCACTGATTTTAGGGTGGGGTGGTTTGTTAGGCAGCAATTGTTTTCAGTAAATGGCTTCATTGTCTACCTGGTCACTTATGCCAATTCCCTTTCTCTCATATCTCACATTTAATCTGTCACTAAGTCCAGGGAATTTTATCTCCTCAATACATATCAAATCCCTCTACTTCTCACTTTTCCTGGTGCTATGACATGAGTTCTGATTCTCTTCATCTCTCGCCTAGATTATCACAGCACCCTCTGTGTTCCCTATCTCCTGCCTCTCTGCTCCCTTCCCTTCTCATCCAATCCCTCATAACACAGAGCTATTTTACTTACGTGCATATGTAAAAATGTTACTCCATTATTTAAAACCTTTTACTCACAGTGTAAATTCCCAAATTTCTAATGATGGTCTAAGAGGACTTGGACCATCTGGCCCTGCCTCTCTTTCCAGTTTTTTCTTCCACCACTCCTCTCACTGAACCCTATGTTTCTAGAGCTGCCTTTCAGACTCTGGCGACCTTCTGGCACCTTCTCCAGCTCCCCTGTTGCATTAGGCAACCCACTGATGGGATCAGATGAAAACATTTGACCTGTCAACACTTCTCAGTCCCTAGATGGCCACGAGGGACTCACACTGGAGTGTAGATTTGAACCTTGTGAAGACCAGAGCATTTCAAATGACATCCACACTTGTGCTATTACCTTTTTTAAGTGACTGATTCTCGTTCAATAAAAAGCATCCATTTTTTTTATTTCATGTAAAAACCAGGAACTAGAGAAGATTGATTGCTCCAGCAACTAAAAAAGATTAAAAGAAATTTTACTCGTAGGACTTATAATCACAGAGGTGTTCGCTGAGCAACCATAATTCTGGGATCTAATTGAAAGAGTCCTGGAATTGGAGTCAGAGAGATGTGGTATCTGGTTCTGTTATTTCCCAGATATAGAACCTTGACAAGGCACTTAAACTTTCTGACTTCTGTTTCCTCACATATAAAAAGGGGATGACAATCAATACTTTGCCTGATTGTATTGAGGACTAAATGAGGTAAAAGATGTGAATGAGCCAGTGTATTTTAAGGTCTTAGTGACTATAATTGTTAGCCAATATGATCCACAGGAAAAGGTAGAATTTTATCTTTCTTGCTATTTTTAGTTGGGCATTTGGAATTGGAAGTGAAGAAAGTCTAATATAATTAGATTTGCCTTATTCTGCTCTCTGGTGGTCATCTGCTAGTCAGTAGGGATGTAGCTATTGGGGCGTAAATGATACAGTCCAAATGTGGCCTCTCTGCCCCTTTAAAATCTAAATGCAATTGGATTGAAGCCAGATCTCACATTTTATGAGCCTTGTAAGTTCGAAGCCCTCCAGGAGATTTCTGCCAATTTCAGTAGGGGCCTGTGTTCTCATAGTCCCTGCGGCTAGACTTTGTCAACTCAGAAAAACAAAGCCCGTGGCTCACTTTGCTTTCTTACTCTCACAGCTCCCCCGTCTCAGAGAGCAACTCCTGAGTGTAAAGGCCTTCCCTGGATTCTTGAAGGCAAGACAGCTGTACATTAGGTGTGTGATAAACAATCTATCCCTTGTGTATTCCGGTGTGTAAACACCCCTTTGTCCACCTGCCAAGGGAGGGTTTCTTCTGACCCTTTCCCCACGTAGCACCTAACCTGACACTGGTTGTCTTACCCGTCCTTTTCCTTTCCCCTCCCTAGCTCTCTTTATTACCTCTCCCTTCCATTTTGCCAAGTGAATCCCAAACTGTTTTCCTTCTTTCCACACAGAGCAATTTAGTGTTCCCCCCCTCCGCCCACACTTACATATCCACACTCCTCAAGGCTCTAAGTAGGACAAAGGGCTTTCTGTGCATTAGGGTCTGTCCTTCACAGAAGGTAGTTGTGGTTAGAAATAGCACTATTTCTGTTATAATCGCGACAGTGTTTCCTATTTATTGAGTGTTTACTGTGTGCCTGGCACTCTGTCATGTGCTGCTAGTCATTATCTCATTTACTTATTTGATCTTCACACTGACCCTGGGAGCTAGCTTTCACTATTGCTATTTCTACAAATGAGGATTAGGTGCCCGTGTCAGAAAAATGAGGTAGTTTACATAAACTCACACAGCAAGCAAGCAGTAGAACCAAATCTGTCTGGTCCCAAGTTTGTGCTCTTTCCATTTTAATATAAAGCCTTTCAGGGGAAGGAGGAGAAAGTAATCGAAAGACCCGAGGCTACATAAACACAATGCCATCTGTTCTTATATTGTTTTGCAACTGTAAAAGAAAGGTTTATATATTATCTCATTATTCCTGTGAAGAATGAGTAATCGTTATCATCACACCCATTTTGACATGAGGAAATTAGGGTCTTGTGGAGAAAGGGAGTGAGGGAGCAGGCAGTATAAGACATTTCATTTAAAGATCACAGAGGTACTAGCTCTGGTTGATGACAGAGTTCAGAGTGTGACCAAGGGAGCCAGTGGCTGAGGTGGTATGAAGAGGAGACAAAGGACTGAGGGATCAGGAAGCCACATGGCTACTGAAGTCAGCAGGAGGATGGCAGGACAGGGGCTGAGGAGGATGTCCAGGAGCCAGGGGCTGAAATCATCAATGGTTAAGAAGCTCATGGGCATAACTGATGTCCTTGATGGGGAGGGGTAGAAGGAGATATGGCTGACAGCAAGGAAGGAATTTTTTACAAGCATGGGAGTGGCAGTGCTGACCCCACTTCCTGGGTTAATGATGTGAGGGGAGTGGAAGCGTGAGAAGCCCTCTTGCAGGGGGCTACAAGAGAAATCCTGGAGGAGGGTAAAGTTTCAGTGAAGGTGAAGAAGTAATCTGAGTATTCTCTAAAGAAGCAGAGGATGTAGGAGAGTCTGCTGGCAAAGGAGCAGGATTCGAGAGGGCACAGTGGAAAGGGCTGCCAGGAGCTGGACAGTGGGCAGGTGAGTGAGAGGGAGGGGTGGAGAAGCTCAGCACAGTGCAAGGATTACTCTGACAGAGAAGTCAAGACCACCAGAGGGGCTGTCAGTTGGGAGGTTCCCCAAACTGGAGAAGCAAATTGTAGATAGGTCCATAATGGAACCTGGGCCAAAAATGTCCAGTTCAGACCTCTGAGATCTGAGATCTGGGACAGTGATTCTAAAACCAAGCTGGCAGCTGGCTCCTGTGACCGCGGGAAGACTCGAGTCCCCCTCAGGTTGGGCAGACACAGGGCTAATTACATCCTATACTTGCCTTCTCTGGTGGAGCTGGGACTTCCTAATGACCAGGGAAGAATACTTTCCGCACTTTAGGCTGCTTCTGGTAATGGGGAATCATTGAAAGTTTTGTTTTTGTTTCATTTGTTTGTTTGTTTGAACCAGGTGGACGGTAAGATGAAGACATTTGGAGTGGTCACTCAGGCTGCTGGTGGAGAGGACGGCCTGGAGAGTGGAGGCAGGGAGACACATTTAGGAGGCTGTTGTGTTAGTTCAGGTAAGGAGTGACGAGGCCTGAATCAGGGTGAGGACCGTGGGTACAGAGAGGAAGGGAAGAGAGAGGTAGTTCATGATAAAGAGGTGTAATCACCAGACTGATGGGACGTAGCGAATAGGGTAGAGGACAATGTCCAGCTTTCTGGCTGAGGTTCCTCTGGTAGTTGGCCGTGCAGATTCGGTGTCTCTCCCTAGGCTTTAGCGCGGATGAAGCGATATAACGGACAGGAAAGCGCTTTCGAAATGGCAAATCTCGGTACCCATCGTCACCTCCATTATCATCAAAATTCTCTGATCACTGTCGTAAGTTCAGCCTGTGGAACTAAGATGTGGGAATTAAGATAAATCACGACAATCGCCCAAATATTGAGGAGCTCAGGGCCCCCAAGATTCGTGGATTCCCAGCACCTGTAGGCAGCGGGGCTGGGGCGGGGCTAACACGGGCCCCGCCCCTGGGCGGGGCGGGGGCGGGGCACGGACGCGGCGGCAGCGGTGGCTGTAGCCGGAGCCTCAGCCCGAAGTCGCCGCGCTGGGGACCGGAGCGGACCCGCAGGGATCGGCACCCGCCCGCTTCGAGAGCCGAGCTGAGCCCCTCGCCGCCCACCGCCCGCCACCCGGTCCGGCCGTCCCGCTGCGTCGTTGCGGAGCGAGCCGCTCTCCAGCACCCGAGTCCCAGGTAAGGGGCGCGGCCCGGGCGCCCCGCTGGCGCTGGGGACCGAGAGCGGGCGCTGACCGGGACTGAGCGCAGGGCGGCGGAGGGGACACGGAGGAGAAGGGGCTGCGGAGAGGCCGCTCCGGAGGGGGCACCGCGGCGGGAAGGCGCGCGTAGCCTGGCGCGGGGGCGCCCAGGGAGGGTCTCCGCGGACCCGCGGGCCGCACCCCGAGCCCCGAGGGCAGCGGGCGGCGGGAGTGCGGAGCCAAGAAAGGGGGCGCGGGGCTGGGGGAGTGGGGAGCGGCCGCGGGAGCGCAGTGAGGGGAAAACGGAGGGCGTTGGGGGCGGGGAGGTATGAGGAGGGAGCCGAGAGGGGCGCGCGGGCAGAGGGCACCTGGCCCCGGAGAGGTGGTGAGGGGGCAGCTACAGCCAGAGGACGGAGAGGCGCGAGGGCGCGGGGTGGCGTGGAGGTGACGAGCGGCGGCGAGGGGACGGCCGGCGGGGCTCGTTCTGAAGCGGAGAGGAGCGAGGTGGCGAGGGGAAGGGGCGCTGGGCAGCAGCAGGGTTGCAGGTCGGGGACGGAGATTCGAGTGTGGAGAGCCGGAGCGGAAAGGACGCGGAGCCGGGCCCCGCTGGGGACCTGCAAGGCGGGCAACCTGAGTGGGGGGCGAAGGAGGCGGGAAGCTTGGAGGAATGGGAAGGTGGGACCTCGAGTGGGTCTGCGGGGCCCGCAGAGGCAGGGGCGGGGAGCTGATGGGAGGAGGAGGCAGCGGCCTGGGATGTGGGCAGCGGACGCCCGATCCCTGGCCGGAGGTGGACCGTGGAGAGCACTGGACTAGGGCAGGGTCTGCTGGCTGAGGGGAGGAGCTGCCAGGGAACTTGGAGAGTTTAGGGTGGTGGGCGCGCTGGGTCAGGCTAGGGATGAGGCCGGATGTAGGCTGTGGAAAGATGCTGGGGGCCCAGAATGGAGTCCTTGGTCACCCAGGCGCTGGCGGTGTCTTAAGCTGCTCAGAAGGATGAGAAGAGGGTGCAGGCACCGGACCCTGTTACACTGGCACCTGGGATCAGAGACAAAAAGAGAATCGTGGACAGAAAAATTCATCCGCGGACTGACTCTGTTTTGGAGTCCAAGTGTGAGAAGAGACTTTAGGGCGGGCTGGGCAGCAGCCCCTGGAAGCTAATAGAGATGTGGAGGAAGATGGGAGGAAGACGGGCCCTTCCATCCCAATTTCTCAGATTCCAGATGGAAAGGGGTGGTAGATAGTAGAATGAGCTAGATGTGTTTGTGTGCACAGGTGGAGGCTCACCTGTTCAGTGCCTATAAAGGGTGGAAGACAATGGAAGTCCCTGAAAAGCCCTGTCTGTTGTAATAGGAAGGCCTGGTGATCTATTAGCCAGAGGAGAGGCATTTTCCTAGAGGACGAGGGGTCAGGGAAGACTTCTAGTCACGAAGGATTTAGCTAGCAGTGGAAGGAAGCATGTTCCTTGTCAGAGAAAACAGTATGGGAGATGCCCAAACTCTAAAATGATCTCTAGTCCAAGAAATAAACCTCCATTTTCTTAAGAATTGTGTTATGAAGGGAGGCAGCAGTAACCGGTAGAGGACGTTTAAAAAGGTTTCCCATCTTAACTTGAACTCCTCTGGTTGCTCTTCATCTCCCCAGAGTGCAGCACAGAACCCGGCTCCCAGGATGTGCTTAGTGAATGTTGATTGAATGAATAATTGAGCAGTGGTTATACTACTGCCTCAATTTCTTCATCTACCCCCAAGAATTGTTGTGAAGATCAAATATGATAATGTGGGTAAAAGAACTTTCATAAACTATAAAGCACTGTACAAAAGGGAAAAGCCACTGATGTTATTACACAAGTGTGCCTACATTCTGCCCTGGCACACCCATGGCTCTCTCTCACTGCAGTCTGGAGAAAGAAGGAAGTAAATGTTTCCAAGCTTCTATTGTGTGCAAGACAGAAGGCACTGAAAAGTCCCTGGTGGAGTGTCTGGCATTTAGTAGGTGCTCAAAACATGGTAGCTATTATGATACTGTTTCTATGGGGAAACAGTGAGGAGGTAGGCGGGGCTAGTGGTGATGGGTTGGCAGTGGAGAATGATTGAAAGAAAGGTTGAATTAGACAAATTAGTAGAGTATGGCTTTAGGGAGGAGGTTGATATAGTAGAGTGAGGTCCACATATGCCCAACTCCCTCTTTATCCTCATTGATAAATGTTCCCCATAGGAAGACAGAATTACATTTATTGAGCACCTCCTATGTGTCATGTACTATTTAGGTGCTTTGCCAACATGGACTACAGACTTTCCAATAATGCTTTTACAAATGAGAAAACTGTGTTTTAGTCATGTACAATTTCTTGTCACAGTCTCACAGCTAATTAGTGATGGTCCTGGAAATGGAATCTAATTTGTTTGATTTGGAACCCCAAGCTATTTCCACTACCCGGATGTCCTGGTAGAAGAAAACATAAAATGCACAAACACACACACAAAATTAAGTGTTTTCTAAAGCACTCTCCCATAGACTGGTTTTAATTCTTACAACAGTTTGCCAGGAAGTCATTTTATTAACTCTTATATAGGCGAGGAAACTGAGGCCCAAGGTGTGATTTACCTAAGGTCGTACAATTGCTGATTGAGTGCTCAACCCAGGTCTCTTGACTCAACCTTGTGCTTTTTCCATCAAGAGAGAAGTTCATCTATTTACTTACTTGCTGCATATATTGAGTTATCGCCAGACTGTAGGGATCTCTTCTCCTCTCCCCACTCTTTTCAGGCCGAAGTTGGCTTCTTAGGTGCTTATTTCTGCTGCCTATGAGACAAAACACATTTATTTTTCACACCAACCCTTAGAGGAGCCATTTTCTTCTTTCCCCTAGCCGGGAACCAGGAGTGACTTCCCAGATGGTCCCTGGGTCTTCATTTATGTTTCTTGTCACGGAGACAGTGAGCTACCTGGCTCTATCATTTATGTGACTGTCACAAAAGAGAGGGAAGATTTGATTGATGCTTATCTTGCAAGTGGTTCTGCATGTGCCACATGCAGTGACCTGTCTGCTCAGATAAGCCTCGGGTGGCTGCTGGTGAGGATGCTTTTTACCTCCCTCCCACATTCTGTGTAGCCCCTGCCTTCATATTGAGAAGATGCCCTCGGGGGCTTACATCTGAACGCGCCTTCTCGCTGAACCTCTCTGCCCTCTGCCTCTCCCTGTTCTCACACCACTGCCTGGGAAAGCTGTGCTGTGTGCACATCAACAGAGGTCGACAGTACAGCACGGCAAGTGCTGGGACAGAGATGCTGGCAAGTGCTGGCAAGTGCTTGGGGCTCTGGAGATGCTTCTTTACTCTATAAAATTGTTGGTTTCCCCCCACCCCCTACATCCAGTTATGTCTTGGAGTCTTGAGATAACAGAAATTCTCGTCGTGGTTTGCTGTGTGACTTTGGACAAACCACTTCTCTTTATGGAGCCTCAAGTTGTGACCTGTAAAACGAAGGGGAGTGGATGGGGCCAGAAATTGAAACCGTTTTTTGCTTTTGCCTTCCTTCCCACTCTCACACCTGTGGCAGGCGGAGCTAATAAAGGCTGATACTACACAAGGACACATGTATTTTTCTGCACGCAGTGTACACACAGAGCACACTTATGTACATTCTCTTATTTAAAACTCACGGCAGCCTTGAAAGCTAGATAATATTATCATATCATAGATGAGGACACTGACGCTCAGAGTTTAAGTGACTTGCCCAAGTTTGTACATTGAGTTACTGGGAAAGCAGGGACCAAGAGCCAGGCTTTTTGTTACGGTAGAGCTGCCACTCCAAAATCCCTTCTAATTCCAGGAGTCTAGGAGTGTAAACAGCTGCATTAGAAAGATCAAGAACAATAATACGACATTTACATCGATAGTCTGGCACAGGGCAAATGCTCACTAAATGTTTATTGAAAGGAGTAATATACCCTAAGGATTTACTATAGGTCAGGTACTAACAGGTGTAAGGATGGATACAACTCAGCTTCTACCAGACGCGAAGGCATATAGTTCATTGTAAAACAAGCTCAAATAATGTAGCCCAGGTCAGGGAGAGGACAGTTAAACAACATTTGACTGCAGAAGTGAATTAAAGTGGCCAGTGAAATAGTACCTATTGAGTGCCTCCCAGGGGCCAGGAAATTATGCCAGACTATTTACATATGGTAACTGCTCATTCTATTTGTACTATGGCTCTGTGAAGTAGGTGGTATTTTTTCCATTTTAAGATAAAAATTCTGTGACTTAGGGAGGCCAAATGATTTGCCCAAGAATTCAGCTGAGGAGCAGAGCAGGGATTTTGAACGTCCCTGTAACATTGCAGGGTACGAGGTCGAGTCTCAGCTGTTAGCTGTGAGGCTTCAGCAAATCCTCTTCATTTCTGGCTCTCAGTTTCCTTCTTGATCAAATGAAAATAATAATTTCTGTCCTTTCAGTTTTATTTCTCAAGTTTATTTAGAGGATAAAATAAGATAATGGATATGAAATCGAGGTATCGATCAAAGCTGTGTTTTAGTAAAGTTACTCTTTGACCAGCAATTCCATTTCTAAGATCTCTCCTGAGGAAATAAATAGGAAAGTGAACAAGTATCTATGTAAATAAATGGTCGCTGTGGTTTAATTTATAATAACTAAGAACAGAAAAATAATTTAAATGTACAACATTAAAGATTGGTCATATAACACATCCTTGGGTGGAATATAATGTAGTCAATTGAAATGATATTTATGTGGGGAGGGCAGGGGAGGGGAATGGGGGGGAATGGGAGAACTATAATTGAACAATAATAAAAAAATTAAAAAGAAAAAAAGATATTTATGAAGAGTTTTTAAAGTCTCAGTAAAATATTTATGATATAATGTTAAGTGAAAAGGAGCAGGGTACAGAACTAATTAAGATATAATCTTAGTTATTAAAGTATACATAGAAAATATAGACTAGAATGTATGGTATATTATCATTATATACAGATAAAACTATAAATAGATCTCTATGCTTACATATGCAAAGACTATCTCTGAAGGGTTCATGAACTGGTAGCATGTTTGCCCCTGGGAGAGGAACTGGAGATTGGGAATCAGAGGTGGGAGCTTTTGGGTTTTTTTCACTGTAAACCTTTAGTTTTTATCTTACTTATTTTTATGCTAAAAGTTAAGAAAATAATGCAAACTGCAGATGATGACAAAGAAGTACTTACAAATAGTAAAAGTTTGAATGTATTTTCAATGTGTGTTACATTTTAAATTAACAAATAATAAAATATAACTTAAAATAGATGGCGTTTTATTGCATGAAAAAAATAAGAGAGGAAATACACTTAAAAGGACAACAATGGCAGTTTTTGAAAGGATGGGATGTCCAACAATTAAATTTTTTCCTTTTTCTACTCCTCTCATTTTTCTATTTTTTTTACAATGAATATACACTTTCAAAGTTGAATTTTTCTCTGGTAAACGAAGATGATTGGCAGTCAAGCAGAGGATAGTGTGAGGTCATTGTGGTTGCTTCCTTTGTTTTAGGTTAAAAAAAAAGCATAATTCTTTTCAATTGCCAATTCTTGAAGCAGGCTCTGCACCTTGTACCACGAAAAATGGAAAAGTTAGGGCTGTGAGACAGTGTAAGCACCCTCCCCTCCGATCTCACGTTCTTCTCCCTCAGTGCCGTGCCTCAGTTGCCGGGGATCCAGGGCGTGTTCCACACCTGCCATGGGAGCCTTGTCTTGGGCAGATTGATGGAGGAAGTGCGGCTGTGGGTCACCAGAGGTGGGCGAGTGGCAGCGTCTTTAAGGAAGTGATATTAAAGGGCTGCTAATAAATTATCCCGCATATTTGTCTGACCTTTCTTCAAGACAGCTTTAAACCTTCTACATTGGTCAGCCCCTTGTCCTTACAGCCCACTGGAGTGACTCATAGAGATAAATCCACCAGTATCTTTTTATTTCCCTTTGGGGAAAAAAGCAGGAATTCCTAAAGAGAGTGACACCCTGGACATTATCCCACATTAGGGCTGTCTTCCTACCCTCCCCTGACTACCATCACATTTGAGTGTGCGGTGCTGAACATAAGAAGAGATTTACAGATGGAGAGGCGCGGGACCTGCAGTTGTTAAGGTGTAGTAAAAGCAATTAAAGACTATGGGTCTGCTGGATTATGGGGGACAGATCCAAAATATTCTAGGAAAGGAGAGGATGGTGGCAGGTCTGAAAGAGCTGGGGTCTCAGGGAAGGTCTGGCATGTAATGAGTACTCGGTGAAAGAATGAGTGAGTGAACAAACAAGTAAACAAGGGACCTAGGCTATGAAGGATTTGGAGTAATAATGACTTATGTTTACACCTGTGTGGGATTTCCCAGTTTATTAAGGCCTTACTCCTTGTAATGTCATTTGAGCCCTGTAATAGCACTGTGAGAAAAGCAGGGCAGAAATTGTTCTCCCCATTTTTCAGATGGTGAGATTGGTCCCCAGAGTGGCGAAGCGACTCTTATTAATTCAGCACACATTTTACTGGGTGCTGATTATGTACGAGGACTTGTGCTAAAAGCTAGAGAGACAGAAATGAAGTACATTCAGTCTCAGATGTGTGGTGTGAAGGAGGAGCTGGCGTAATAAACAGTTCTGAAATGATACGAGTGCTGTTCGAGTGCTCTGGCAGCGTAGGGGCAGGAGTGCAGGCCTCTGCCGTGCACAGGGGAGGTGAGACTTCCTTGGAGCTGCAAGGGTGAGTGGGAGTTTATTAGGAGGAGAATGTGTAGGCGGAAAGAAAGAATACGTGTCTAAAGGGACAAAAGCAAAACATATTGCATATTTAGAGTAAAGTGTGTAATTTGGTACAAAAGTAGCACAGATTGGTAGAGAGAAGACTTAGGGAAGATAGGCTTAGAGAGTTTACTCTTTGGTTATTTGGTTCTTTGTCAAGTTGAACAGTTTGGGCTTGATCTTCAGAGCTGTGGGGAGCCATTAAAGTTTTGAAACGGGAATGACAACCCTGTACTGGGCCTTTCTTAGCATGTTCATGTGTTTGCTGTTTTGAGTTTTTTTTCACTTAAAACTCAGCTCAGGAGCTGCCTCCTGTAGGGGACTCCTTGACCACCATTCTTCTAGGTTGGATTAGATGCTTCTTTTGGGCTTCCTTAGCCAAGACCTCCTTCTATCTTATCACTGACCTACTGCTTTGTTACCCTGGGTCTACGTAGTTTTTACTCTAATCTGTGGCCACTTAGAGGTCAGACGCCATGTCTGATTCATCTTTGTATTCCCCGTGCCCAGCACAGGGTTTGATCCGGAGCAACATTCTCAGTAAATATTTGCTGAAGGAATGAATGGGAGGAGCTGAGTTCCACCCCAGCCCTGAGACAACACTGGGATAGATGCAGTGATAGGGGGATTCTCAGTAGCGTGTGTTTCCTGAGTGATGTTGGAGTGGGGAATTAATATGCAGATGACAAAGTGACCATTAAATATTCATGACTCAGGGTGACACTAGAGATGTGTCTCTGTGTGACCACAGGTCTCTCCTGCAGATGGCTTCAGTGACTGATAGTAAAGCTGGAGTCAAAGATGCCTCCGACCAGAATTTTGACTACATGTTCAAACTGCTCATCATCGGCAACAGCAGTGTTGGCAAAACCTCCTTCCTCTTCCGCTATGCTGATGACACCTTCACCCCAGCCTTCGTCAGCACTGTCGGCATCGACTTCAAGGTGAAGACAGTCTACCGCCATGAGAAGCGAGTGAAGCTGCAGATCTGGGTGAGTGCTGGGCATCTTGGGCAGGTTTGCTCTGATGGGGAACTAGTCTGCTAGTACCAGGGCTGGGGGGGGCGGGGGCCAGTTTGGAGCTTCTGGGTGTTACTGCATCAGGCGCTAATGCTGTTGCTGGTCTGGCCCTTGGAGTGCCCGTTGCTGGTTTTATGTAAGTTTGCTTTCTTCTGGAGGCTCCGTTGTTTTTGCTGCCTAACTATCCAAGAGGTCTTATCCTGGCCTGTGTAAATGAGTGACTGAGAATCTGGGCTTTGGAGTTAGAGAGCTTGATTCAAATTCTAGTCCTGCCACTTACTAGTCATGGAACCTTGACTATATTACTTACCATCTCTGGGCCATCCTTTCCTCTTTGGAGATTATAATAGCATCTACTTCATAGGGTTGTGGGTGCTTAGCATAGTTATTAGGACATAGTTAATGCACAATAAATGTTACCTATTGTATCCATATCCTATCACTGCATAACAAATCACTTCAAAACTTTATGGTTTGAAACAACAATAATAATTCATTACCATGCCCTTTCTGTGAATTAAACATTTGAGAGTGGCTTCGTTTCTTGCTTGTGGTCTCTTATGAGCTTGCAGCCAGGCTTGGGTCACAGTCATCAGAAGGCTTGAGTGAGGATGGGAGGATCCCTTCAAAGGTGGCTTACTCACATCTGGTACTGGCTGTTAGCAGAAGGCCTTAGTTCATTGGTATGTGGCTCTCTCCACAGAGTTACTTAAGTGTCTTTGTGGCATGGTAGCTGGCTTCCCCCAGCTCTGGGAGAGATACAAGAAACCAAAGAGGAAATGGCAATGTCTCTTACTATTTAGCCTTAAGAGTATTCTATTGGGTAATGATTTAATGTAGGGGGAAACTATACAACGGCCATGAATCATTGGGAGGTGAGGATCAATGGGGACCATCTTGGAAGCTGGCCATCACAGTTACTGTTATTGGTATTTACCTGTGATACTAATAAAATATATACATATTTAAGATGATATAGCAACATATAAATCATATACTTTTCAATAATGAATTAACATTGAGATCAGAAATTCTGAAAATTTGTGATTTAAAGTTTTCAAAACAAAGAATTTATTATTCAACATGTTAAATGTAAATTAATACACTATGCATATATCTTATTGGTATAGTCTATATCCAGTATTTTTAATAAATTATTTTTATGTATTAATATTACCTTATAATTAACCCCAAGAGGTAGATATTATTTTAGTACACACCTATTTTACGGAAGAAAATAATTCGATTGAGATAATAATTAATTTGCCTCAAGTCAACCACACAGCTGTAAAGTGGGATTCCAGCTTAGATCTTCTGATTCTAAGTATGAGAGCCCGTATTTCCATGTATGACAGTGTTAAGTATTAATTTATATAGAGGTGAAAGTTCATTTTGTTCATTTTGTCTCTATTAAAAGCATCGAGGAATCATCAGTCATTACAAATGTCACAAGCTATACAGATCATTTAGTTCATTGGTTCTCGAAGTGTGTTCTCCTGACCGGCAGCATCAGCACCACCTGGGAATTTGTTAGAAATACAAAGTCTCAGGCCCCTCTTCACACCCACTGAATCTGAAACTCTGGGTTACGGCCCAACAATGTGTTATAACAAGCCTTCTAGGTGGCTTTGAGGCAGGCTAAAATTGAAGAATCACTGATCTAGTTTAACTGCCTCATGGTGAGAATCAGTAAGTATTTGTTAAGTATCTATTATGTGCCAAGTGGTTCCACTTATGTTATCTGACATCTTTGCAGCCAGTGCACAGAGCGGGGCGAGGGCACAGGATATTCATAGCATGGCCAGCGAGACAGTCTAACTAGAGCAAGGCTGGGAGAGAGGAGGGAGGGGGCGCCCAGTTAAATTTTCTGGAGAGGCCACCAAGCAGCATCTTGGGGGTTAGGGAGACCTTGCGCACCCAACAGAAGGTTCTCACCGTGAGTCAGAGGGTGAATGCCTGATGACTCCTTAGGGAGCTGAAGAAGCCACGAGAGTTTATTTTATCTAAGAAGAGAGATGTTTTTGGATGTTTACTATGTAGATTGATGAAGATGTCTTCACCTCAGAAGTGAAAACATTTGATCTCCAGCTCAGAGGGTCACATATTCTGCACTAGAAAAATCTTTGGGTAGGAAGGGACGATCTGCCCTTCTAAGGGGTTGGCAGTGGTGGCTCCCTCACTCTTCATTCATTTTTAGCCCCTCGTGAGCTTTTGCCATTTTTCTGTGCCTGATTAAGTGGATTTATTGATCCTACTACCTAATTTTAACTAAATGAACCATCACAATGGACATGTGGCTTTAAAAGAGTCCAGCAAAGAAACCTCTGATTGAACACTGTACTAATTATAGTGAGCCCAGATGAGCACAGAAAATGGCTGAACCCATATTTCTCTGACTCCCAGCACAAGGTCATTGTTGGCCATGTTTTGAGGTAAAACCAATGAGAGTCTAATTTGATTTGACATAGACAGTCACATTACTTCTTGCTAAAAAAAAATTGGGAAAGTTTTTTTTTTTCACATAATGCATGTGCTTTGCTGCAAAAAAAAGTTTTCTGTACTGTTTATAAATACACTAAAATGTAAACATTTAAATATTTATGTCACTTTACATATTTTAACAGCATTTGTGTTAAATATATATAAATTTAAGTAAATTCACAAATTAAGTAAATTTACAAATATTGTGTGGTACCTAACTTTTTCTTAATAGGGATATAAATTTGGAGACTACTACCATAGGCACTGGGGAGCCATAGATGGGTTTTAACAAGGTCACATATGTATTTTAGAAAAATCTGTGATTTCAGTGAGGAGGGTAGGTGGGAATGAGGCAAACAGACTAATGGTTTGGGTAGGTTACAAGGGCTTGAGCTAGCATAACAAAATACCACAGACTAGCTGGCCTAAACAACAGGAATTCATTTTCCCACGGTTCTAGAGATTGAAAGTCCAAGATCAAGGTTCCAGCAGGGTTGATGTCTGGCGGGAGCAGACAGGTGCCTTCTTGCTGTGTGCTCACGTGGACTTTTCTTGGTGTGTACAAATGAAGACAGAGTGAGCTCTTATCTCATGTCTCTTCTTAGAAGGACACTAATCCTATTAGATCAGGGTCCCACCCTTATGACCTTAACTAACCTTATTACTTCCTTAGAGGCCCCATCTCCAACTAGAGCCACATTCACATGTTAGGGCTTTAACATGTGAATTTTGGGAGGACACAAACATTTGGTACATAACACTAAGACGATGACAAAATGACATAATGGATGGAAATGAAGAAAAAGATTTAGGACTAGAATTTATGGAATTTAATGATTAGTTCATTGTACAGGGAGAGGGAGGAATACATATGTACTCATAAATTTTACTTTTATAAACAAAAATTCGGTGGGTTTTTTAAAGCTGTGTGAGCTTTGGTAAATCACTTCTATGAATAGATAATATCCTCAACTGCAAATCCTCTCCAGCTTGTTGGGGGAGAACTACACGGTGTTAACATAGAATTGTGCCAGGCACATATTAGGAATGCAATAAATGTTATGTTCCTTCCTTTCTCTGCTCTTGATCCATGTGCAAAGTGTGGACTGGCCCCTTGCAAGGTTTCCCGCCCGTGGTTCTAGGTGTGCTGGTACAGCATTCAGAGACTCACCAGCACAGCATGAAGTGTTGATTTAAATTTCTCTAGCCCATTTGATCACTCCCAGGAAGTTTCAGAAAGTCATTGTCAGCGTGGAAGGTGGTGAGAGAAGAGAAGATTATGAGCATCATTGAGCAGGACCATTCACAAAAGGAGTTTCTGTCATCTCTGGGGGATGTTGGATGATGAAGTCATTGATAGTGCCTTGTTCTCTGGGGTCCTTCGTACATAGTGGGGAGATGGGGGCAGGGGGAAATATTGTTAATAGAGAGTGAGAGCATGCACAGTTGTAAAGGGAGGGAGACTTGGAAGCTCCACAGCAACAAATGTGACTAGAAGCCACTTATTGCTGGGTGCTGGTTGCCAAGCAACCCCTGGAGACCTGTGGAAGAGAAGAGCGAGAGAGGGCCTTTCACTACCTCTACATGGGGCCCATTGCAGGGACTGTTGTGTCTGGTGCTGGTCAAGGGAAGAATCTGGGGACCTGTGGGAGGACTAAGCTGACCTGGGACTTTGGAATCCTGGGTTCTATTCCTGTATCTGCCCTGCAGTTATTGTGTGATATGGAGTGACCCTTACCTTCCCCCAACTATCAAATGGAAAAGATAATTATTTTTCTTGCCTCATGGGTTGTTGTGAAGATTGAGTGAATAAATGGAAAGGAAACTCCAAGGAGAACTATGAAGCCTTGAATAGATCAGAAGGACGATGGGTATGGTCAGCCATGTGAATTCTTCTTGTATGTGCTTTAAATTACTCGTTGTGTCTTTCATACCTTCCCCCTGACATAGGGAGGTAGTGATCTCCTTAAGGAAAGGGTGACGTTGAGGCCAGAGATGTCAAGTAACTTCTGCAGAGCCAGGCAGTGAGCTTCATTCTTTCAGTCATTCAATAGGCATTTACCTGGCACTCGCTCTGCGCCAGGCATTGTGCTGGCTGTGGGGAAACACCCTTCCTGCTCTCATGGAGTGTACACTCCGGTAGGGGAGATAGAAACTAAGTACATGGATAAAAAATATCTAACTTTATCTGTGGCAAGGGCTCTGAAGAACAAAAGCTGGGCACTGGGACTCAGAGCTCGAATCATGAACTGTGACTTAGGTCTCATCCCCAGGCTTGCAGCTGGGGTTCTCAGGCTCAACTCTTCCCAATTTAAAAGGCTAGCTTAACGGATGACCCTCCACATACCAGCTCACCCCCGGCCTGGTCCCTGTCAGGGGACATGGTGGCAGGGGTCTCCATTGTGGAAAGATAGAATATTTCCCTTTCACTTCCACCAGTGAGGCTTTTTTGGTGACTTGCATGTCAAATAGTGTCTCCTATGTCTGGGGTT